GAGTATTTCATATAGCTTCTAATTCAAATCTAACTATTGCAAATTGCTACTTTTCCAATAATTATGCATCAACTTCAGGTGGAGTTATAGTTTTAAATACTCTATCTACGATGCAGGTATCAAATTCAATATTTAGCAGTAATGTAGCCGTTGAGAATTCTGTATTTGAGATATTAAGTGCTAACTAATTCACAAATATTACAATAACTCAATCTAAATTTATAGACAATTACTCACTAAGAAACACTATGTTTATAATGTATGCAAATGTCTTTATATCAGACTCTATATTCTTCAATAACTAAGCTATTGAAAGGACGAAAGGAATTTTATGTGGCTTTGCAAATATGACAATTCATAATGTTGAATTTGAAAGTTCATCAAATATTTATTGGTAAAATGAACTTTAAGATGTGAAGATCACTGGCTCCTAAATTTACAAATGGGATGTCAAAAGAGGGTGGAGCAATACATATATCAGGTGACAGCAATGCTGAGATTTAATCATCAATATTCCAAAATAATAAAGCTAGATCAAAAGGTGGAGCAATTTTTTCAAGTGGCTTTTGAAGTATTATTATAGGAAATTCTTCATAATTTTAAGATAATTTTGCTGGTGATCAAGGAGATGATATATATTTGACGAGTTCTCTTAATTTAATAACTTTAAACTAAGTTTAAATATCAAATTTGAAAGCTAAGAATTCTATTTATATAGAATAGGCAAAATTATATTCATAGTAGCTGGTCATTAAAGATGCTTACCAAAATTTAAATTCATATAGAGGTGCAGGTATATACTGCTATTATTGTAGAGGTCTAGAAATAAGAGATTCTTTTTTTATCAATTTAAGATCTGCTTAAGGAGGAGCAATATACATACTTGAATCAGATTTAGGTAAAGAAACTACAAATAAAAACAATAAAAAGTTTTAAATCATTAATTCTACCTTTACCAACTGTACTAGTGAATAAGGAGGGGCTTTAATGCTTGATAATTCTCAATCTGTTTTTATTTAAAATAGCTAATTTATTGGAAACAATGCTAAGGTTATTCCAGAATATTAAATTCATGCAGTAGATGAAGCTTCTGGAGGAGCTATTTATTATACTTGTAATGATGAAATTTTAAATTGCATTCTAACTTTTGATGGTATTAATTTGTTTAAAGATAATTATGCCCAGATTAAGGGAGGAGCAGTTGTCTGGACCACACTTGAGCCTATTTTTATTAAAAATAATCTTAATTTCATAAATAACTCTGCATTTCAATATGGAGATAATTTAGCATGTTTCCCTTAAAAATTGGGATCGTTATCAGAAAATTAATATTTGGCTCATATGATAAAATTAGGATTGAAAGAAAGTCCAGACCAAAGACTATTATAATTTACTACAGATAAAAACATTCAGTTTCATTAATCAGTTCAAGACTAAAGGAGTGGTGGTGCAATCCCAGTCTCTTACATGGCTTTAATAGATTAATATGGATAGATTGTAGGATCAGATTTTAGAAGTAAAGTTAGAATTTCTATTTAGACAGATAATCTAGATGAAAAAGCCAATATGTACCCACCCATACTTTAAGGAAGTAGTGATTTTCAAGCATCTGGCGGTGTTGCAGTAATTAAGGATGTAATAATTTCCGGAACCCCTGGAAGCTCATACAATGTAACATTTTCATCTGATGTAATTGATCTTAACAAGTTGTCAAACAAAAAAGAAATGGAGCTGATACAAAAAGCAAATCTCGACTTCTTATTAGATATAAATCTTAGAGAATGTAGTGTAGGAGAATAGTTTACATCAGCTGGTAAATGCATTGAGTGCTAGGACAATACCTACTCTCTAATAAAAATGATTGAACCAAACACTTGTGAAATTTGCCCCTCTGAAAAAGCTATATGTCATGGAGGTACCAATATTGGCCCTTTGCCAGGATATTGGAGAAAAAGTAACACAACTAAACGAATTGAAAAGTGTCTTTTTGAACCCGCATGTCTTGGGATGATTCTACCAAATTATAATCCTTTGGGCGAATGCCTTCAAGGATACAGAGGAATACTCTGTAGAGACTGTAGCAAAGGCTATTCAAGAGATAATGATTACTAATGTAAATACTGTCCA